TCTTAAACCTCCCTTCAGATGAAACTATCTTCTGCAATCTGTCCATAAGTGCCTTGGTCTGATAATTAACAAAATCCCACATGGTTAAAATAAAAATAAACAAAAATCACAAAAACTGTTTGTTTACATAGGGTGACCATAAATTCTCTTTTTCTTGTATATGTTCGGGGGATTTTTAATGATTGAAGGCCTGCATAATTAATCATATTTTAATCATTCATGGCTGCGGTTGCCAGATTTCAAGAGTATAAATCCCCCAATTGTTTTTCATAAATCGATAAATTTTTTGTCTAGCAGTTTACTTCATCTTCCCAATCTGGCAACCATGCGCACTCGCTCTCTCTACATTATGAAATAAAAAGCGCTGATGATCTGAAAACACCAGCAAACATATAAGTTAGAGTTAAGCAATCTCTACTGAGATATTCAGCTCAAATAAAATGTAATACACATCAAAGTTTGATGTGACTAAATCTGCGAGCAAACCATGCGAGTTGATCATTTTTTTGATTTGTGCTTATGTGAAAGTGCAATAATTCTAATGAAAGGTAAAAATGACAATATTCATGATTATATTTCTGAGCAAAATAATCATAATTAACCATTTAACTATTATCATGCATCCCTAGTTTGACCAATAGCATGCAGGCATTGTACATAATCGACCAATCGTGGTGCGCGAGGAGGCGGAATCTACAGAACAATCAAAGCAAAGCAAATAGACATACATATAATGTCATATAAATAATCAGCATCTGCACCAAACTGCATATTTTACTAAGTTTGTGTCTCTGAATAAAATTCAAGTCCAAAAAATAACAATTATTTCACATGTCAGGTTTTACAGGGTTAAAAGTTGTGCATGAGCAATGAGCTTCTGTCTTGAAGTGTGCACTTCGCCTAAAGCAATTCTTTATCTACTTGTTCCATAATATCACTGTACATTCAGATGGTACCTTGGGTTGCAGATCAATCCTGTAGGGCGCCTGCTGAAACTGTCGGATCTCTCGTATTATGTGTGAGATCTGTGAAAAACAACAAACAGACATTTGAAGACAGGTTCACTGATGTCTTTTGAAATCCTGAGATTTGACGTCCTACAAACACCACAAGCTGAAGAACTGTTTAAATACCATCCTCATTTTAGAGAAGTTGACGAGACCCTCCTCTGTGAAGTTGGGCGTTCCCTCCTCGATAAACGCCAAATCCGTCAGGTACATGCCCAGATAGGGCACACATGGAGGGTTACAGCTGCTGAGTAAATACGCCACTAAGTATAAAATCACAGAGAGTTAAGCAATCTCTACTGAGATATTCAGCTCAAATAAAATGTAATACACATCAAAGTTTGATGTGACTAAATCTGCGAGCAAACCATGCGAGTTGATCATTTTTTTGATTTGTGCTTATGTGAAAGTGCAATAATTCTAATGAAAGGTAAAAATGACAATATTCATGATTATATTTCTGAGCAAAATAATCATAATTAACCATTTAACTATTATCATGCATCCCTAGTTTGACCAATAGCATGCAGGCATTGTACATAATCGACCAATCGTGGTGCGCGAGGAGGCGGAATCTACAGAACAATCAAAGCAAAGCAAATAGACATACATATAATGTATGAGGACTGTAGAGAGCATGTCAGTAGGAAAACAAAGCCAAAACCCAGACATTTTAGCAAATTAGAAGGGCGTATGGCCACCCTATTTTACAATCCTATGGAATTTTGACTCACCTGTTTGCAAACCTTGGCCCACGTTTTCTTTAGCCTGTAGATGGCGCTGCGGTTCAGTGCGGATGTGATCTCTAACACGCCGTTGTAGTTGTTGAGACAGCGACATATATCAGCCACGGCTAGCCACTTCTCAATGGATGCGGCTCTGGAGCTCACGTCTGCAGGAGCCATGATCTGAGACGCTACCAGATTACTCATCTGTTCAGAAAAAGATTAAGAAGTTACACTGACTCACTCACATCACATTAGGGATTTACAGTTACAAAAGAAAACAATTTAATGTTGTCTTTTTCAGTTTAAAAAATGTGATAAAGTGCTGCAGTTTCTAAAAGGCTAACTATTAATTATATGATATCTAACTATTAATTTTACTGTAACATTCTACAATAAGGCCTGTGTTTTCCGTAAAAATACCCTTGAGACTATTAACCATTTATTTTGGGAGTGCACAGATTTAAAAAGAAAAGCTAGGATTGTTGTTTTGTAGAAGCTAAAAATGTTGTGCTAAAAAGTTTTTTACATTTTTGGTGATGTCAAGATTGTATTTTTATTTGATTTAATTGTTATAATCGCTTGTTATTATATTCATAAAGATCATTGGAATGAAAAAATGTCAATCTTGAACAATTTAAAACTGATGTTGAAATATATTTGAAAAATATCCAAAAGTAAAAACTTGAAAGCAGTAAGAACTTTGCAGCTTTTTAATGTTATTTAATATGTTTTTTTTTTTTTTTTTATTACGTATATGTGTATGTATATATTTACATGTAGATCTACCCCTGACATGTTTGGTTATATGTACTCTTGTAAATACAATATATTTGGTTATTAATTTAAAATAAAAAAAATATTAAATAACATTTTACAACAAGGTCCAAATCATTAACATTAGTTAATGCATTGGCTAACATGAACTAACAATGAGCAATATATATATTTATTACAGCAATCATTAATCTTTAATAATGTTAGTTAATAAAAGTACAATTCTACATTGTTTGTTAAAAAATATTTAAAAAATGTTAGTAAATGTTTAAATTAACATTAACAAATGCTTTGTTCATTGCTTGTTTACTAGTGTTGTTAACTAATGCTAACAAATGAAACATTATTATTATTATTTGTGACCCTGGAGCACAAAAGCAGTCTTAAGTCGCTGGGGTATATTTGTAGCAATAGCCAAAAATACATTGTATGGGTCAAAATTATT